ATAAGAATCAAAGCTGCAAAGTTTGTGGGGTTGTGTATACTTCTACATTAAAATACGTTAATTAAAATATATATATATGTAAAATAAACTTGATTCGTTCGGTAAGATTTTTCTTCAGTATGACTGTTATGTCATGTTTTGGTGTTAACTGAGCATGAATTCAAAACGTAAACAAAAGAACAAGCTTAAATTTTGGCCTGTAGCGATTTTAAAGCTCCCATTCGATTTGAGTGCATGAAAATCTTCTCACTCGCCCAAAGGGAAATTTGCTCCTCCCATTTTGTGAGGTACGGTGGTCGAGGAATTCAGAGAAAGCTTAGGAATGACTGATGTGCCAGAACTTGATAGCATTGACAGAAAAGGCGATTCAAGCTAGTTTTTCCTTGCCTAAAGATATATTTAACCTATACCCACGGCTGCAAAAGCGAGGGGACAACCATTAGTTCCAGTTGACCAGTCACACAGATGTTCCTATCAATAAGGTGGTGTGCGTCTTACATACACATTGCTACCAAGTCAACTTGGTTCTTCTCCACTGGCGGGTTCTTTGTGATCAATTTGGATGGCAGGATGAGGTCCTTTGCGAATATGTTCGAGGGTCGAAACGTATAAGTTTTCGAATTCGCGCTGTCCAACCCATTCACGGGTATCAAGAAGACAGTCCTGTCGGAAAAAAGCCCACAATTTGCTGTCGGTAACCGGTCAAGATTGCTGGGACCAAATGAATCAAACCGCAAGTCTACCGGTCAACTTCGTTCACATAACGAAAAATATTATTTCGTATCTGGAAGCTGCGTTTCCGACAATAATTTTTGCTACATATTTTAGTTTGCTTTGCAGGATTACGATCCACTCGAAGTTGAAATGTGTACAATTTCGTAAAGAACTGCGTTTGTACTTTGGACTCTACCTCATGCACTATGACGACGAGCCTTCAAACCATTAGGCGTTCTCATTATATTCGCGAAGTTTATTCAGAGCAAAACAGTGTGTATAATTGATTTTCTAAGACCGGGAATGTACCTGCCATCTGTAAAAGGCAAATAATTTCCGGAATAAGTAGTTTCAGCTTTCTTTCTTGCACCATATGAATTTACTCATTACTCATAATATAAATCATTGACTAGCTCATTGACGAATTCTAATGGAATTCTTTTCCTGTAGCTTGTGCACATGCGCTCCCTTCTCTCAATTTTTTGGAGGGAAGACGGCGAATATGCACAGGCTATTTTCCTGCTACTGGGGAATTTCCTTTTAATTTACAATTTCAGTCAAATGAAGTTAGTTTAGGTTGCTGTCAACAGTTTCCAGCATCTTTTCTGGGATGCATCGGTAGACTACTGATGCGGTTCTGTTATGTACCAAGGTATGTGTGGGGCTCAAGACAGTACAGCTACTGCACGAATGTAATTTTTTGAACATGAGATATTTCGTAAACATCA